CGGCTCGACCGGTTACTTCCTGAGAACCGGCTCAAAAGAACGATTCGTTCAAGAACCGAACATCACTATTAAAGAGTATTTCTGTTCTGGATCTTCTTCGTCTCTGCGCTTCTTCGTCTCCTCACAGTAGTGCACTGTGACAGTTGTACGTTTAATTCAAGAAATAAATACTTGCTCTTCAATATTAATGACAAATAAAATATCTAATTCTTTGTTGTATTTACCTTTCATAGCATATAAATGGTGCTTGAATGGTCGCAAGCAAATGGTTTTGGCTGGTGGTATAAAATTGTATCCCTTTCCGAGATTACTTTTCCAGTAGAAACTGCTGCCGGGGCTGTTGGGACTGAATTTTTGCATATGTAGATGAGTGTTTGTACCTTGACAACATCGTAGCAACTACAGTATGAGCAAACACACAGTGAGGTTTGTGGAAATTTTAAATGTACCCTCAGACAGATGCTATGCTTTAGGCAGGAAGCATATGTTTAGAAATGTGACACAGAATTCTTGCTTGAGTTGAAAGGTAATCTACCGGCCATTTATTATTCTCAGTTTATAAAACAAAATAGTTGTCTGTCACAACCGTGATGTCACAGTTTTGCTTTTAAGGTCGTACCAGGGCAAAATAACCTCCTAGTTTTGTGAATTTGTGCATGTTTTAGATTAATTTATTTACTGACAGACTAAGTATTGCAAGAAAGGCTGTGAATATTTTACTGTTAGGGCTGTCAATCAATAAGAAACATTATATGCTGATTAATTAATAAAAAAATGAATAAAAATGACATCTAGCATTTTTTTATTAATTTGTGATACTTTTTTCAGGATTCTTATAAAAAAGTTAAATAGAACAGAATTAATTCAGAATAGAAATCCTTTTAACAATATACACTACAATTCGAAAGTTTGGGGTCAGTACGGTTTTTTTTTTTTTTTAGAAAAATTGTAATACTTTTATTCAGCAAGGATATGTTAAATTGATAAAAAGTGATAGTAAAGACTTGTATTGTTACAAAAGATTTCTATTTTGAATAAATGCTATTCTTTTAAAGTTTTTATTAATCAAAGAATCGTGAAAGTATCACAGGTTCCCCCCCAAAAATTAAGCAGCACAACTGTTTCCAACATTGATAATAAATCAGCATATTAGAATGATTTCTGAAGGATCATGTGACACTGAAGGCTGTAGTAATGACTGATGAAAATTCAGCTTTGGAATGAATTTGGAATGAATTTTAATAAAATAGAAAACCGTTATTTTAATAATATTTCACAATATTACTATTTTTTGTGTATGTTTGATCAAATGCAGCCTTGATGAGCATAAGAGACTTTAAAAACATAAAAAATCCTAGTGATCTTTTGAACGATAGTATCTGTCTGTCTATATCTATCTCTATACACACACAACATTTAAAAAATATATATAATAAATTGCACTAAATCAGTATGTTAAATTGACAGCTCTACTTTCTACACACATGCTAGAGATACGATTTTTTTTTTGTGGTTTGTTTGTTTGTTTAGAGATCACATGGTTATAGAAGTATTGATGTTTCTTCAGAGCCACAAGCCACTTCTTTTTGCCCTGTTTATCTATTAAAGAATCTTCATGAACAACTATGAGCAGCCAAACTCATTTCTGTTTTGAATTGCAGGAGGCTCAAGCTTGTCTGTGCGTTGCAGACTATACTTTTCACTCTCTTGACTGCTAGTTTCAGGTCTTTAATTAACTCAAATGCTACTGACTTGTATGTAGCTAAGGATAGTAAGAACAATTTGTGTTACCCACGTAAGCAGCACAGCTCAGCACCAACCACTGTACCACTTTAATAAGAGACTTAGACATTAGAATGCATGATGAAAAAAATTTACACGACTAATTTTAAAACCACATTTATATACTGAGCAACTATAGAAGCCTAGAAGATTTGTTGTTTTTTGAGGTTGTTAGCCATACTGATAGAAGTGATAATAGTATAATAGTTGGTTCGCCCTTTTACTTGCTTTTGCTCAAATAGTGAAATGAGTTTTGTATGGTAAAATAATGACAAATGTCTTTGAAACAAAAAAAGCATGTTGAATTGCACTAACTGAAAAAAATAATGCATGTTTATATCACTGTATTAGTTCATTGAGGCATGTTAAGCGTCGTTGGGGAATCCTGGAGTGTGGGAAACCCCAGTATTACAACCACTGATCTATAATAGAACATATATATATATATATATATATATAGATCAGTGATTACAACTCAGTGTCACACAAGCCATGATATAAAGTTAAGGAAACTAAGCAACCAACATCAATATCTTAGATGTAATGTTAGTTCTGTATATCAGCGTCGGGGAAACAAGCAACAGCGAAGATGCTGAATCAAACGTAAACACAGCTTTTGAGTCTTAAAGTGCCTCTATTATGCCTTTTCGAATATTACCTTTCATGCAGTGTGTCATGTAGCTGTATGTGAACATAAACTATCTGCAAAGTCGTGAAGCCGTAAATAAAGTTATTGTCTATCAAAAAAAAAGAGTCGTCAGGAATTAAAATCTTATTCTGTTACGGCTCTACGTCACAAAGTAACACATTTGCATAATGTCTGCCCACGTTCTACGTCGCCAACTTCAACTTGCCCACTCACAAACAGTAAAATTTCCATGTGGTTAACATCATGTTGAGAAGACGCGCTGTATCCTACGCTGTGAGAGTAAATTTGTTTTATCACATCTTATAATTACCACAAACTTGTTAACACTTGACACTTACCACTGAGAAACGCCCTGCTCCAGTCGTGCTTGCGAATCAGTCTCTTGTCGATCAACCAGTTCAACCATTTCATCATCAAACTCCGGCTCGAATTGGTAAGGTACAATCGACACCATCTTTTCTATGTATTGACAAGTCTCCAGGGCTGTCATTCCGTCATGGCAATGTTTCGGTTCCGACACGCGCTGTATGCGGTAGACCAATCACAAAGGACTGCGCCATCTGACCAATCACAGCAGTGAGGGCTCATGGAAAGGAGGGGTTTAGAGAGACTGATTCTTTGAACTGCTTCGCACGAGTCGTTTACGAATCATTTAGAAATGAGGTAAAATTAAATCTATTTTTTGAGAAAACTAACGTGTTTTTTGAACTTGCATGCATGTAAACCTGTTTTAGGAGACTCATAAAACAATATTAGCAACCTTAAAAATGGCATAAATAGGGGAACTTTAATCAGCTTTTCCACATATACATACTGGCCCTGATAATCATAACTTCTACCGCTTGATCCATTTCTGCAAATCAGTTTTTGTGAATGAATGACTTGCTCTACCTGTTGCTTTGGTCTTCATCAACACCCGCTTGCGCCACCTGCTGGTGAGCGACTAACAGCAGATGCAGATCATGCATCGGTACTCTACTGCTATTCCTGCAGTTCCTGGATGTGCAATGCTGAATTTTCTGCCAAATTTAAACCACTGAATTAGTGGAAGCGAATTTGTAAAGTGAAATTAAATGAACTGAAAATTACCTGTTGAATATTATACATTGTATTTTTAAACAAATTGAATATTTCAGAAGTGAACTCTGGAAGGTGAATATGAATTTTTAATTATGAAAATGTGTGTGAAATGTTTTGAATTGAAATGTTGACAGCTTAAATTAAAAACTGTTAAATTTCAGCCCCTAAAAATGCAAGCCCTGAAAATACAAGGCATAAAAATGCAAGCACTGTTAATGCAATGCATTATTTTTTCAGTTAGTGCAATTCAACATGCTTTTTTGTTTTAAAGACATTTGTCATTATTTTACTTCCATAGTTTTGATCAGTCTGAAAGCCTTGTGAATACCATTATTAGACACATCAAAAAGTGACGTCTTCCTCTGCATACATCTGAAATTGAGCTGCAAAGCCTGAAGCAAGACTGATGTATAGCTGCAGAAGAGAAAGAAGTGAGCTCTGAAAATCTGTTATGTACCCTCCCCTTCCCTTACAACCACCCTCTAAACCTCAGTTTCATTTTCAGCCTCTGCTCCTGCTGTTCTGAGTAGCACCACCCACCTCTGCTGCATGACAGCTTAAACTTTAAATTAAGGCTGTTTTTGCTAGTGAGATTTTTAATTGTTGTTTGTGTTGTTAGATCAAATATTAATCACCAAAGAGAACTGATCTTGATTCATTTTCAGCATCTTAACATATGAAGGTTTTTTTTGTTGTACTTTTGCTGTTAATGTGGCCTTGTCAGAGAGTGTGACTGTTGTTTTCTGACTTTGTCGTCCATGCAGATGAGTCCACAACGCTGAAAGTTGGCACCTATATCTTGATTGGGATTGGATCTCTGTCCATGCTTATGGGCTTCCTGGGCTGCATCGGTGCCATTTATGAGGTCCGCTGCCTGCTTGGACTGGTAAGGGATTTATGGAGAGTTTTATTTTTTAATTTGATTTAATAATTTTTTGTTTTTTTTATAGTGCATATTTATATATGTAATGCTGACTACATCAAAGCCAGTGCGTGTTGGTCTTTGGGCTATTACATCAAAGCCTGTGCATTTTGGTCTCTGGGCTATTATAATTTTTTTTTTTATAGTGCATATTTATTTAAATATAATATTACTACTGACTACATCAAAGCCAGCTCTTTTCAGTCTTTTTATTTTATTTCATTTTTAATTCTATGTAATTTTTTTTTAGTGTATAAATTATTATATAATACTTATACTATATAATACTTATATTATATAATACTACTGCTAACCACATCAAAGCCAGCTCGTTTTGGTCACTGGCCTATTATTTTAATTTATTTTAATTGGTATATTTATTTATATATAATTAACTGCTGACTACATCAAAGCCAGCTCATTCTGTTCTCTGGGCTATTAATAAAAATGATATTTCACTTCTAACCATATTCGGTCGAATTATATGACGATTTTTTTGGTCAGTATTTATAAAATAACAGTGTTAATAGCTTTAGGTTTGACACTTTTTTAGCAAAACTTCATTGAGCACTGGACCATTCACAGAAGATGTCAGGTATAGAGGTGCTGCTACACTGTGGTAATCACAGTCACAACAAGCCCAGAATTATGCGTGCCCAGAGCATCTGCTGAGGGAGCTTCAGAAAACTCTTCCTTCATTAGCATGATAAAGAGTTTGTTTGAAATGGCTCTCTGAGGTTAATGCTGCTGGATTTACTGAGCTGGAGTGACAGGGATAAGCCAGTGAGATTTAAGGGATGTCTGTGCAAAAACTGGGGGCCATATTAGTACCTGCTAGATGACTGGATCAGCTTAGCGGTCAGCAAGGGTCTTTGTTAAACTGTTTGACCCATTTAGAAAATAAAGTTAACTAGCTGTCACTCTTTTCATGTGCTTTATGTAATCACGCAGTGTTGTAAATTTGCTAATATGTCCAATAAACAAGTGAACATGTTTGTCTGACCTCTAATGACTATAAGATATCAATGAAAGGATATTTAAAACAAAACAATGACACAGTAGGCTTTGAGGTTTTAGCTTTTGTTTGAGTGTCCAGTAATTGTGAACTGACTTTTCTGTTCTCTGTTTGCAGTACTTTACCTGTCTCCTCCTCATCCTCATTGCCCAGGTGACGGCTGCTGTCCTCATCTACTTCCAGCGAGACCTGGTAGGTGACCATACCTCTGAAAGTGTACAGCAGGCATATTCAAATGGCGGACCGCGAGACATAATGGCAACGGCAGCACGATTTTACCTTTTCTAAATAAAGTGAGCAGCGCTTCAAAACAACGGAGCGGTTCACACCACAAGCACTCAGGGTCGTTTATTGTAATGATCTTTCGGTGTTATATCCGCTAATATTTTTTATCTAGAGCTAAACCGGCTTTATTCAAGCCCTTACCGTGTGTGTTGCTTCTCGATAAAGACACTAAAGCACCATTAAAAGCTGCGGATGATACGGTTATTTTAAAAACAGAAGCAAAAATCGATACTTTTGCTAAAACACTGCAGAAAACAACAATGCTGCAAGTATAGTTATTTTTACCTATATGACTCTGACCCTTCAAACCAGGTTTGTGACAGGATATTTTCTTCATCCACATTTAGCATTATTAATCAGTATGTTAAGAGCATTTTAAAATAAACACGTAATTGTTAAAATTGGGGAAATTATTTGTAGCAAGGAAGGACAACATACAGTTTTTATTCTGCTCATGATGAGAGCTTTTGGATTGTTTGTTTTAAGCAAAATATAAAAATGCTCCAGACTTCAATTTCTGAACCTTCTGAAAATTCTGAACCTCCATTCAGTATCTTTTGTGTTACATGGCCTTCTCCCTTACATATGTATCTTAAGTGTAAAAAATAATAACAGCTTGATAAATTTGAATTACTGAAATAAATGAACTTTTCCACGACATTCTAATTTATTGAGATGCACCTGTACATCCTCTAATACAGGAGTTTAACTCACTTGTGCTTAGTCAACCTAGCTTAAATCAGTTTTAGTTAAGTAGCAGCCGGCCTATCCACAGCTATAAGCACATGCTTAAAGGGTTAGTTCACCCAAAAAAGAAATTAGCCCATAAATTACTCATATTCAAAACTTAATAATCACTTTAATGTAGCTTGCGCTCACTGTTGTACACGGAAGCAGCTCTGGGCGGATGACGTCAGCGTTGCGCATGCACTACTGAGTCTCGTGAAAACCAGCGTTTGTTTACAGGAGCAAAAGAAGCAAAGTTTGAAAACGCATCGATTCGCTACAGGAGGCCTTTGTTCACCCCCCGGAGCCGTGTGAGATATTTTTTTTTAATGGATGGGTGCATTTTAATGAACTGCTTTTGGACGGATGCATGCAACACCTGCTGAGTGGCATTAAACAGCTTGAAAGATCAAAGACCATTTTTAATATAACTCCGACTGGATTCGTCTGAAAGAAGAAAGTCATATACACCTAGGATGACTTGAGGGTGAGTCATTTACGGGCTAATTTTCATTTTTGGGTGAACTAACCCTTTAATGCTCAACTTAACTTGCTGTGTTTAGTGTCTTTCTGTTTGCATTATTGGATATATACTTAGTATAGCGTGTCTAGCCCTGCTGTAGAGCAGGTAATTTGAGTCTGTGCTAGGGCATGCTCTGTTTTCTCTGTATGCTTCACCACAGGGCATGCTGACTGCATTTCCCAGAACAGGGCGAGGTTCACAACAGTCTCTTACACCCTATGTGCATAAGCAGTGTTTTGCCATTTTAGTTTATCATTGCCGTAGCCCCCTCAGTGCAGTCTGTTCCACCACACCTCCTACACAGACATGAACTTTAAATAAGATGTTCACAAGATAATGTTCACTTGAACAGTGATTTGCTATTACGTTTTTGACACGGATGTATACATTTTTGAAATGTAAAGAATGGTTTTTAAACTGTTTGTGCTGGTTTTATCAGTTAGATGACAATCAGAAGGTCCAAAAATTAAGAGGTTTTTTTTATGCAGCAAGGATGCATTAAAATGATCAAAAGTGACAGTAAATTTTTTTATAATAAATTAATAATAAATGCTATCATTCTCAACTTTCTTTTCATCAACACATCTTGAAAAATGTATCCTTGTTTATTATTAAGCAGCAAAACATCGATTTTTCAACATCGATGACAATAATAGGAAATATTTCTTGAGCAGCAAATCAGCATATTAGAATGATTTCTGTTGGATCGTAACACTGAAGACTAGAGTAATGATACTGAAAATTCAGCTTTTCCACCACAGGAATAAATTACGTATTAAAATATACAATAAGGTTTCATTTGTTAAAGGGGTCAGTCATATGATGCGATTTCAATTTTTCCTTTCTCAGACATCTGAGCAAGCCTGGGACTACCTCCAGAGAACGGTGAGCTTTTCCTTCAGCTATTGTCTGCCATTTCCTCCCTCACTGACTTTTTCCATCATTCCCTCAGTCTCTTACAGTGAACTTACAGTAATATCTGTTGCACATATTAGAGATGACAGAAGATTAATTTCTAGGACAATTTCTCGGGGCTTTTTTTATTTTCATTTAGGTTTTCTGCACCAATGTGCCTAGATTTTTATGTTGTGGTTGTTATTTATACTGTAATATAAAATTCTTTCCTGCTTTTTTTTCCACTTACAGATGAAGTGCTGTGGTTGGACTGGACCATCTAACTGGACGGAGAATGTGGTGATAAACAGTCAAAAGAACAATTCTCAGATTCTATACCCATGTTCCTGCAGAAATGAATCCATCAGTGGCACAGATATAAAAGAAACAGGCCTGTGTGAAGCTTTGTCCCCTGAATGGCCTGTCTTCACTACGGTACACACATACAGCTTTACTGCACAAACTGACATATCCAGCAGCATATTCCTATATAAAGGGATAGTTCACCCAAAAAAGAAAATTCTGTCATCATTTAATCACCCTCATGTCATTCAGAAACTGTATGAATGTTGCTATCCAAATAATTTTGGTGACCATTGATTTCCATTCCATGGACCGAAAAAAAAAAAAGTTCTCAGAATATCTTCTTTTATGCTCCTTTGAAGAAAGAAAATAATTTTTTGGTGAACTAACCCCTTAAACTTTCCTGATTCTGGTTTTAAACTCTTCAGCTTCATCCCTTGTAGCACTCACCATTCACACTAGTACTTCTCATTGCTAACTCATTCTCTCTCTAACCTGACGTTTGTGTTGCGTACTGCTAATGAGATTTTCTTCTCCATCTGTGCCACATTTTCTCCCTCCGTTCATTTGCTTTTAGTACAACATATGGATTTCCTTTGTGGACTGGATATCAGCTTTTCTCAGCCGGCTAACCATTCACTCCATGCCAGTATTTCTGAGTCCCCATTCAAGCAGTTGGCTCTTTCATTAATAATAAATTGGATCATGAGTATGGCACAGGTGGTGCTTCTGCTCATTAGGTCTCAAATGTCAGGCAAAACTCAAGCGTGCCATTTTTTATACCTTTATATTTGCATATTTGCCTATAAGCTGGACCATAGACCGGGCCACCTACATTTAAAGGGCAATTCTGAATTCTTTCTCATAATGCCATCACTTTAATTCATTTGGAAACTGTATTATATTTGTAGCATATACCCAGTCCTATTGTTCAAATAAGTTGCTGTAAATCAAAATGTTTCCTGTTAAACTAGACCACTGACTGTTCTGGACTTTCACTTTCTTTCCTCTAGTTGAGTTTGGCTTGTTCTGTTTGTCTCCTTCTGATGTTATCTTTGGACAGCTCTGTCTGTTCAGGATCATTTCCAACCCCTGCATATCTTTTTTCACTTTTTTCCCCCTATTTGTTCTGTTTTTTTTTTTCTTCATTTCTCTCCATTCCCTGTGTCCAGGGTTGTATATCTAGTGTGGAGGACTGGCTCCTAAGGAACTGTGGAGTTATTCTGGGAGTCTGTGTTGGAATAGCAGTGATTGAGGTAAATCTAGAAAGCCTATCATGTAAAATACATTACAAATTCAATATTATTCCTTTCTAATATAATTTCTGTTATTTTGGCACTTTCTACAAATATGGCACGCCTTCTTGTCCCCAACCTTTTTTTTTTTTTTTTAATTACCAAAAACAATAGATTGCATAATCTGTTGTATTTATATTCAGTTACATTCATTTTAAATAAAAATCCCCTTTTATTAGCAACTATTTGTTTTTATTAAGCATTTTTATTATGTAATAATTTGCTAATTTAAATAATAATAACACATTTTGTCACATTTTTATTGGAAATATACATTACCATTCAAAAGTTTGGGCTTTGTAAGATTTATGTTTTTGAAAAAGTCTCTTATGCTCACCAAGGCTGCATTTATTTGATCAAAAATACAATAAACAGTAATATTGTGAAATATTATTATAATATGGAATACCTGTTTCCTATTTGAATATTTAAAAAAAAAAATTATTTTATTCCTGTGATGGTAAAGCTGCATTTTCAGCATCATTACTCCAGTCTGCAGTGTCACGTGATCCTTCAGAAATCATTCTAATATTATGATTTAGTGTTCAAGAAACATTTCTTCTTATTATCAATACTGCAAACAGTTGTGCTGCTTAATATTTTTGTGGAAACCATGATACATTTTTTTTCAGGATTCTTTGATGAATAGAAACTTTATATTCATCAAAGAATCCTGTAAAAAATGTATGTAAAAGAGCAGCATTTATTTGAAATATCATTTTTTTTTTACATTATAAATGTCTTCAGTCACTTTTAGTTCAGTCCTTACTGAAAAAATATTATTTAAAAAATCTTACTGACCCCAGTCTTTTGAACAGTCTAGTGTTTCTAGATGTATGTGCTATGACTTTTGCATTAGTGACCAAAAACCAAATATTTTTTCCTAATCTTTTGTGTTTATATTCAATCAAAGTAACCTATAAAAGTCTGTACCGAGTCTGCCCTGATTTAGCTGGGTAGCTTGTTTTGTGCATGAGAGAGAGGTGGGGAACTAGATTGTGATCACCGTCTGCTTTGCTTACTTCAGCTTTTAGGGATGATCCTGTCCATGTGCCTCTGCAAGAGTATCCAACAGGAGGATTACACCAAAGTACCCAAATACTGAGAGCAAACCCCTCTTCAGTGACTCACCCCACATCAGAAAACACCAGTGTTACACCTCTCCACACCAGCAACAACTGGAACAAAGCATCACCCACATACACATATCCGTTCTTCACTTTATTATCCCCCTTAAACATCGAAACGTCATCCTGTTTAGGATCAGCATTTTACGATGAGGATTGTTGTACCTTTTTCTTTTAAATAAACTAGTGATCTTTTCTTGTTAGTGCTCTGCGGGGTCTGAATAGCTTTATATTTGTATAGCTACATATACTGTACGCTGACTGTTGCATTTATGCTTTTCATTGTTAGTTGAATCTGAGAGCACTTTAGTGGATAGCAAGTTTGAAATGGGAAAGAGCTATCAGCTACTTTTAAAATATTTTTATAAACTAGAGGGGAAAATCAACACTTGTTTTTTTTTTTAACCTTTTATCATTTTTATTTGTTTTAGAATTGTGTATTTTCAGTTTGGTTATGTGTATATAAATACGATTTTTATACTTACTGAATAACTACTACATCCTAGTTATCGCAGCACTTGATGGCTTTTCTGCATGTATGCGAAGTGTTATTATCCGGGGCTGGGTCGCTCCGGGCGGAGGCAGGTGCGCTGTGGGTAAAGGTTGAGGAATGTTAGGGCAAATCACAAGTCGTAGTGTAGCATTTCTTGTGGTTTACATGTGAGTCGGCCTACATCTCTCTGTGGATCAGGGTGTGTATGTGGATTTAGGTTGGGTGCGTATCCCACAGATCCTTCTGCTGTGCTGGTGTGGGTAAAACAGCTGTTCAAGTATGTCTGTATACAGATCCTGCTGACTAGCTTCAGCTGTAGCCTGCAGCACCACAGCAAAATCCACAGATGTAACATCTGTCTTCCTGTTACTGACCCATTTCAGCTCAACCAAAACAGGTCTGCGTGAAGTTGTGCGAGCCTTTT